TGTTAATTACCATTAAAACTACAATCAATTTGTCATTCCCAAGGAGACCATTGTAGTGCTTTGAGAAGCTTTTTCTTTCTTTTTTTTGGGGGGGGGAGAAGCTTTTTCTTTTATATGATCTGGGGAGGCTGACAGGTTCTCATATGGAATGAGCAGGAAATACTGAGTTGACTGGTGAGAGTCTGGCAGTGAAGCTCTTGTATCTTGCTGACTTCTCTGCTCCCCTGAGAAATTTTTCTACCCAACAGTGAGTTCTTTCCTAATCTTCAGACCCGCAAGAACAAGCATCAGTTAAGTATGAGCAGAGAAAAAGAACCAAAGTGCCTGAGAATTTCCAAGCCCTATAAGTAAAAGGAAGACCATGATGACAGCAATTTATATTATAAATTATTGCATATATTTGTCCAACTCAATGCCAATGAATTTGGAAGTCTAAGTGGTGATAAAGAGGCTTTCTAGTAAAATGTATTTTGCCAATATGGACCCATTCTCAAGTAGTCTAAAGAGAAAAATATACATAGAAATATATAAATCTATAAGCCTCTCCCCCCAAAAAGCACCTCGATAGTAAGTTTTAACAGATGCTACTATTTAACTGTCACATAAGTCATTGCTACTTGCTCAGTTCAAGAATGTTGAATGGTTACTACCATCCTCTACAACATTTTTTCCCTGCATTTTCAGCAGAATTGATTGCTTTTGTAAATAAATAAATATACAATGTGAGTTCAACTAATCCTTTTTTCTGCATACAAGTCTACATTTTTTTTCTGGGTTTACTGTTCAAACCCTCCCAATTTCCAAGCCAGAAATAAGAGCAATAAGCTAGACTTCCCCAGTAACTACTACATCTATATACACACACACAGAGAGAATTTACGTTCATTTGTTATTGCTATAAAATCAGAGTGACTAAGATTGTTGTGGTCTGATAAAAGAAGAGGGATAAGCATGAGATGGAGGCTTGGAAGGTTAGTAGGTTGATTAGTAGTAAACCTACTAGTAGGTTTACACTCTCTTCTCCATCTTCCAAGTCTGTGTTGCTCTTTTTAATAATCCCAGTTGGTTACCAGTGAACATCTCTGCATTCGTTGCTGCATGTTTCCCAACTGTCAGTCCCTTTCTTCTCACAAGACATAACGTCAATGTAATACAGGCTCTGCTTTGCCTGTGTAAGGAATGCAAAAGCTCCTGATCTTATCAGAAAGAGATAAAGTTATGTTTTTGTACCATGTTCACTTGTGTATTCACTCATCCTCACGGAGCTGTAAGTGAAATTATGGAAGTCACATCACAAGGGAATGGTGCACAAGACATAAAATTCTGCCCCATAATAAACGATGAAAAGTAGTAGCAACTGTAAATGAAACATTATGTAATTATTATGTAATTACTTATACAATTGAATTGTATTAATGTTTGTAGTGGAGTAGTTCAGAGTCAATGAAATTTTAAAAAAACAGAAACAAAAAAACAGTAGAGCCTGACACAATCTGGACATCCTGAGGATGTCTTTGAGTGTGTAACTTTCAATTTCACATAATGAATTTATCCAGAAATTAACTAAACATGGAATTCCTGGAAAAGTTCCATGAAAAAAAAGAATAGCATGCAGGATGGTCATTAAGAAACTGAAGAGAAAAATGTTCTCAGGGAGTAATGAGGTACCATGGGGTGAAGATGGAATGGAAATCAGTTTCAGAGAGTAGGTATATTAGAAGCCAAGTTACGAAATTTGTATGTTTCATCGTTATAAAGATGGTGCTCATGTGAAGTATAATGATATATAGGAAGACAGCATATTTAATTTTTTTTCATGTAGCAATGGCCAGATTAAATGGAGTGGGGAAAAAGAGAGTATAAAGATGTTTTGGACAATTTTAAAAAAAGAAAAAAAAAAACCATGAGGTGAGTGAGAAAATTTAAAAAGACGTGATGTTTGGGATAAGATGGCATGGGTTTTGGCATCTGTAGAAGATAGATTTTCCTGTATAGTGTGAGGATGCCATCTGAGCGTATTGGAAAGAAAGCGATTTGAAGGAGTACTCTCATGTCAATTACATGAGGAATTAAGCGGAGGTTTTTACTAAACACACACAGTGGAGGAATACTTATTTGGGGAAGAAAGTCACGAATCCTTTTTGTTTCTGTGGAGTTGATGGCAGGTGGATTTCTGCAGGAGCAAAACAGTTGTCTCAAGTATAGGAAATATTTTAATATAGCTATCTCTGTAAAGTATTAAAGATACAATCAATTGAAAACAAAGAATGAGTTTGAAATAATGGATATTGATATGTTGAACCTTGTGGCCTGGAAATAGAGAAATACAAATTTTTAGCTGAGAAGAGGCACTTTGAAATATTTACCACATATTAGACCATAAACATACACACACACACACACACACACATATATAATGTTAGATTATGTTTGTTATTCATCAAGTAATAGTACTGGGAAATTGTACCTTAATAAATGTTGTAATAGTACCATTTAATTATACTGATGACCTACTGTAAAGTCTATTATATGGTCATGTTGTGTTTTTAATAGGTTAAAAAGCCATGACATATATTTTTCTTTTTTTTTTTTTTTTTTGCTGTACTCGGGCCTCTCACTGTTGTGGCCTCTCCCGTTGCGGAGCACAGGCTCTGGACGCGCAGGGTCAGCGGCCAAGGCTCACGGGTCCAGCCGCTCCGTGGCACGAACCCATGTCCCCTGCATCGGCAGGCGGACTCTCAACCACTGCGCCACCAGGGAAGCCCTATATTTCTTTATTTTACTTTAATCCAAATGTTTTAACTAGATCTCTTGAAAAAAAAATCCAACTGGAGTCAAACCATGTTAGACCTGGAGGAAGGAGATGAGGATGGTGGAGGAGGAGGGTGCTGAGCTCACCTCCCCCTATGAACATATCAAAAATATTTTTACATCTACATGGGGAAAAATTCTCTTGCAAAACTAAGTGGAAACTGGTAAAAGGACTCCTGTACAACCAAGGCTGTAAAGAAAGATATACACAGAGTCACGCAGGAAGGGAGGTGAAGCAATCAGGGTGGGATCCACAGGGATATCACAAGCTTGGAGATCCTCCCTGGAGAGTAAGGGGTTCAAACCATATACTGGGCACCCTAGCCCTGGGGTCCAACCCCAGGAAGACAATTCCCCTTGGTTAGTTTGAAAACCAGCGGGACTTAAAGGAGGGCTGTAAGAAACAGATTCCGCTTGTGAAGACCACACGCATGCTCACTTACTCCCAGGAACAAGGTGGTGAAGGAAGCAGACTGAAACTGCCCGGGGCTCTGGCCAGTGTCCCGACTGCTCCAGTGAGTGCCCTGGCCCACACCAAGTGCCCGCCCCAGCCCCTCTAGCTCCAGCACAGCTCCCCACCAGGGAAGAGACTACCACTGCAGGGGAGTGTGCACTTGGGGAAGCAGGGGGGTGGTGAAGAGCAGGCTAGACCCGGCACTGCATCTGAACAGGGGGAGAGGGGAGAGCACTCATTACTGGTGCTCATGGAAGCGGCAGATGAGGAGTTGTCTGGAACTCTGACATGCCAGGAACATCCCAACACACTCCAGCCCACACCGGGCACCTGCTCTGACCCCTCTTGCTTCAGCACCGCTCCTTTTGGGTTGAAGGTGCTGTTGCCAGGAGGATGGAGGGCACACACTCAGAGGAAACAGAACCAGCTTGGGCCCTACCCTCAGGGCTTCTGCTCCAGCACCTTGGGACCCAACCCCACCCCTAATAGGGTGGTGATGGTCACTGAGCAGAGGGGAGGGCAAGTTCCTGCTCGCACCTGGCTCTGGCTCTATCTCCTCCATCTCCAGCAGCACCTCCCACCAAGGTGACAGCTGATAGCAACCCTGGGGAAGACGTGACCTGTGCTTACTTCAGATGCAGCTCTCCCACCAAAGCCACTGGGCACACGCAACCGCATAGAGATGCTCCCACATAAGGGAGGCTTACTGACTCACCTAATTTCATTGAGACAGAGAAAGTTAACCAAAATGAGAAGACAGAGGAATTTGTTTCAAATGAAAGAAAAAGAAAAAAAATAACTGAAAAAACAACTTATAAAAGAGAGATACACAATTTACCAGATAAAGAGTTCAAAGCATTAGTAACAAGAATGCTAATGGAACTTGAGGGGAAAAATAGATGAACACAGTGAGAATTTTAACAAGGAACAAAAAACATAATAAAAAATCAGTCAGAGTTGAAGAATACAATAACTGAAATGAAAACCTCAATAGAAGGAATTAACAGCAGACTAGGTGATACAGAAGAAAGTATAAGTAATCCGGAAGACAGAATAATGGTAATCATCTAATCATAACATCAAAAAGAAAAACAATTTTTTAAAAAATGAGGACAGTTTAAGAGACCTCTGGGACAACATCAAGTGTACTAACATTCCCACTATAGGGGTCCCAGAAGAAGAAGTGATAAAAAGGTTAAAAATGTATTTGATGGGGGCTTCCCTGGTGGTGCAGTGGTTGGGAATCCACCTGCTTATGAAGGGGACATGGGTTCGAGCCCTGATCCAGGAAGATCCCACGTGCTGTGGAGCAACTAAGTCCATGCGCCACAACTACTGAGCCTGTGCTCTAAAGCCCACGAGCCACAACTACCAAAGCCTGCACATCTACAGCCTGTGCTTCCACAAGAGAAGCCACCACAATGAGAAGCCTGTGCACCACAAGGAAGAGTAGCCCCCCACCTTGCCACAACTAGAGGAAGCCTGCATGCAGCAATGAAGACCAAATGCAGCCAAAAATAAAATAAAATAATTTTTTATTTTTATTTATTTTTGCGGTACATGGGCCTCTCACTGTTGTGGCCTCTCCCGTTGCGGAGCACAGGCTCTGGACGCGCAGGCTCAGCGGCCAGGGGTCACGGGCCCATCCGCTTCGCGGCATGTGGGATCTTCCCAGACCAGGGCACGAAACCGTGTCCCCTGCATCAGCAGGTGGACTCCCAACCACTGCGCCACCAGGGAAGCCCTAAAATAAAATAATTAAAAAATATATATATTTGATGAGATTATGGCTGAAAAATTCCTGACCCTGAAGAAAGAAACAGATATCCAGGTACAAGAACCACAGAGAGTCCCAAGCAAGATGAACCCAAAGAGACTCACACCAAGGCTGAGAGAATGGCTTTGGAGGTGGTATGCTCTTACAAGAGCATAAATTGCTCTTAAATTGAGAATACCATGAATTAGAATACAGTTACATGCCCTATAATGGGAAGGCTCACACAAGCATAGTGCCTTCTATTTACCAAATGATTGCACAGGAAGGTCCCCGTGAGGCTCACAGTTCTCAACTGAGATTAGCAGGACAGGTGCCACCTCAAAGGAGCAATCTGAGACTCACAAAGGTTAAACAACTTGTCAGGACCCAGAAGTTCTGCACAAAACTCAACTAGTAATCCTCATACTACACCAGAACTATCTTTATACTCCTATTCTTGTCTCATGCTGTATAAAATTAAAAGAATCTCCCCAACTGTCACTACTGGAAGTGCATGTGTTTTATTTCAGGAACTATGACATTCACCAGTATGCCCATAAAATTCTCTTAAAAGCACTAGGAATGCCTGGACCCCACTCAGAGTTTTTGTGCAGAGACATACGGTATTAGAGAACCATATTAGAAGACACATTCCATCCAAAAGGTAAGACCTGTGCTTGCGCATCTTTCTCCATGGTCAGGCTCTTGAGAAGCCCTGCCTTGAACAACCAAGCTTCTGATCCCTGTTTTTAAGGACAAGATTGAAGCTCTGTTCATTCAGAAATGAAAAGAATCACAGTGGTGCTTCTAGACTTCGGTCTTCCTCTTTCTTCAGAAGGTCTGCTCACTTCATGCAGGACTGGTGGTGGTTCCAAAACGAAGTATCCACCAATCCATATACAGCAAACACATTAAATACCGAATTCTCTAGTTCTACCCTTGTGCTTCTGATTCAGGAGTTCTTGGAAGTAGAGTAGACCTGTATTATGTGGGATGTAGGCACATCCACATTTACAATACTCATGAAACAGGAAGAGGTGATGAGTAGACAGTTGTAAGAATTATTGTTAGACTCATTTATCATATCCTTTATTCTCATATCAACAAACAGCTGGATTTGAATTTTGTAAAAGCCACAGCAAACCACATTCCCTTTAACTTTTTATTTTGAAATAATCACAGATGTACAGGAAGGTACAAAGATAGTAGAGGCATTCACCTAGTTTCCTCCGATAGTTATATCTTACACAAATATAGTACAGTATCACTCTGTGGACACAGTAAACAAATTTGCAACCAAAATCGCTGAGACAATGTTTCTGCCCAAAAGCCATCACTGTCCTGGAGATTCCTGTAAAGATGAAGACGAGGGAGTTGGCTACAGGCAACCTGACCATCAAATCTGTGGACCCTAACCTTCACCTAGAGAAGGAAAGCAAGATATAACGGTAAAGAAGAGAGAAATTCTCCAGGATTCTACTCATAGTCTGTGATAAGAAGACCATTTCTATTGCCAAGAAAACCTGGAGGATCTGTTAGCTCCCAATGACTGACATATTTCTTCTGGGGGATGCTGCAGGAGAACCTGAAGCAATGGTTATATTTATGATTTCAACTGAAATTCAATATTCTCCATTTACCATTAGTTCTCACTGAGAAATATTTACTTAAGTTTTACTTCCATTAAGAGCCTTCTAAGAGTTGAATATGTAACTCTGAAAAACCTTTACAATGTAATAATCACTGCTAGGAAGCTCAGTAACATCTTCATTCTTCACAAATCTTGGAGATGGAAACTACTACTATTTTTATTCTAAAGAGGAAGAAAACTTAAGCACAGGGAGTTCAGTGATTTCAATAAATTCACACATTGGTGAGCAGCAGATATGGGGACTTCAACTTAGTGGAGACGGTAACAAAGTATAGTATTTAACCATCATGATATACTGAAGAAGTTTAGCTATGTTCTTCCAATAATCTAGACCTATATTTAGTTGTTTTTGTAACTTGTCAGCATGTTTTAGATTAGTGGTATGTTATTTTGTAGTTTTGGCCGTGACAAGTTTCCATTTGAGTAAAGATTTTTCTATATGCCAATACCAATTATGCATCAAGCTTTTGAGATCTTAATAAAATGCAGATGCTCTGACTGCAACACAGAATAACAGGAACCTGGCCCATGACCAATTCGGATTTAATGACTGTAAGACTGCGTCAACATTAGTATGGTAACAGAGAGGCTCTTTACGCCATGAACAAAACGAGGTGGCACCTATCACTGGAATTGAACAATTGCATGATACCCTAAAGTGTGGTACATAAAACACTACAATACAATAAATACCCTACAATACAATAATACCCTAAAGTGTGGTACAATAAAACACTACAGTAGGGCTGCAGGATACAAGGTTAATGTATATATACCACCAATGAACAAGTGCAATTGAAAATTAAAAACAAAAACCAAAAATAAAGGAAAGAAAATTTAAAACAAAGCACTTTTTACATTAGGACCGAAATTTTTAAAAAGTTCCTTTACAGGTGTAAAGTTCCTTTACAGGTGTGTTTCATCATGGCAGCACATGAGAGGTCTGTGATGAAGATATAACATCATTAACAGATTTTGAACCTCAGATTAAAAGTCACTTAAAATGGAGCCTTATCAAGAAATCTAAGAATAAAAACATTTCATAACTTGGTAAGTGGGCCTTTTCAAACATCCTTGATCCTTTGACCCCCCCCGCCACCATCTCATGAATTTTAAATGATTTTAACTTTTAATTACTCTGCAGAGTGTAACATGATTTGACTAATCTTCAAGAAGGACTAGACTTAGTTCTCCCTACTAATAATTCCCTGATGCACGGTACATTCTGAAACCTGCTTCAACAATTTACCTCACTCATTATATTTGTAAGGGTTTTCTCCATTATGAAATCTTTGGTGGTCCTGAGGCCAGGTCATTTCTTGAAGGCCTTAATATATTCTCCTGTAAGGTTTCTTTCCAGTATAAATTTTCTCATCACTCCAAACATATGAACATTTAATAAAAGCCTTACCACACACTTTACATCTGTATCTTCACTCCATGTATATTCTGGTGTCTGTTGAGACTTGAGTACTGCTTAAAGGCTTTGCCACACTCGTGACACCTGTAAGGTTTCTCCCCAGTATGAATTCTCTGATGAACTGTAAGGCTTGAATTCTGACTGAAGGCCTTGCCACATACATGACATTTATATGGTTTCTCTCCAGTATGAACTTTCTTATGTTGAGTAAGGTTTGAGCTCCCAGTGAAGGCTTTGCCACACTCATGACATTTGTAAGGTTTCTCTCCAGTATGGATTCTCTCATGGCCCCAAAGGTGTGAACGTGTGGTGAAATCCTTACCACACTCATTACATTTATAAGGTTTCTCTCCAGTATGGATTCTCTTATGTTGAGCAAGATTTGAATGCTCAGAAAACGCTTTGCCACACTCATTACATCTGTAAGGTTTCTCTCCAGTATGAATTCGCTCATGACCCCAAAGGTGTGAACGTATCATAAAGTCCTTACCACATATGTTACATTTATATGGTTTCTCCCCAGTATGAATTCTCTGATGCCTTGTGAGGTTTGAGAGTCTGTTAAAGGTTTTGCCACACTCACTACATTTGTAAGGTCTCTGTTCAGAATGAATTCTTTGATGATTAGCTAAGACTGAGCAATGGCTAAAAGCCTTCCCACAGTCATTACATTTGTAGGGCTTTTCTCTAATATGTGTTTTCTGGTGTCGTGTAAGCAATGAAGGATGCGTTAAAACCTTCCCATTTTTATTACAAATGTTGGTTTTGACACTAGAAGGAATTATTTGAAGTGGTGAAACTGAGGAACAGTTTTTGATAGACTTCTCAACGTGATTACATTCGTAAATTTTCTCCTCAGTTTGAAAAATCTGCAGTTCAGCCAAATGTGAATGAAGGCTTAATCCAAGCCTATTTTCCAAACATTTCAAAAACTTGTTTCCTGAATAGCCTATGCTACTTTTTAGTTCCTTATTCCTCATATATGACTTGTAATACTTGTAATATTGAGACATACTTCTTACAGAAACATTCTGCTTTAAAGGAAAATTATTCCAGGATTTATGATGTTGTTGATCTCTACTACCAGTGAGATTTTTGCAAGGGGTTGTAGTCACTCCTTTGTAACTTTTTTCTTCATATTCCCACTGATTCGCAAACTTGTGCATATTTTGCTGGACTTCACTGAAATCAAAATCATCAAAATCATGACTTACAAGTCTTTCAAAAGCCAATGTCTGAAATAAGTCTCCATTATTAATGTCCTGTTTTGGTGATAATTCTTTGATCACACATCTGGTAGACATATCTGTAAGATATAAGGCTTCCTTTTAACCAGATTGGAAGATAGATATTTTATGCTGAAAAATATAATATTACACCAAAGGTAAAACTCACAATTAACAGACTTATCAAGCTTTACAACCATGGTCTGCAAATGTTTAGGAACACAAATGAATAAGATTCCTCTAAAAAGAAAGGGTGATTACACGCAATTCAAATTATTTTCAGGAAAGCCTATTTTCAAATGCTCTGTTATCAAAAGTTACAATAACCTTGAAAGAAAAGGAATTTCCCCACAGGCACCCCAAAGCACACACCAACTCATGGGAGGCATACAACTGTCTAACATTTGAAAAATAAAAGATATTAAAAATAATCACTGGGGTCCAGTGGTTAAGACTCCATGCTCCCAATGCAGGGGGCACAGGTTCAATCCCTGGTAGGGGAACTAAGATCCCACATGTTGCATGGTGGGAGGAAGGGAGGGAGGGAGGGAGGGAGGAAGGGAGGGAGGAAGGAAGGGAGGAAGGAAGGGAGGAAGGAAGGGAGGAAGGGAGGAAGGGAGGAAGGGAGGAAGGGAGGAAGGGAGGAAGGGAGGGAGGAAAAGTTTCTTAAGAAAATTAATATTAAAAAAAACACTACTGAATACTTGTATACAACACTAAAACAACACTGTAAGAATAGCAAAACATTATTTTGAATACTTGTTATACAACTATACCCATGAAAAACAGGCATACTGCAACATAATGATTAGTTCACTGTGCTTATATTACATAACATATGCTAAATATTAATTATCTGTTAATCAAAATAAACAGTAACAAACATTTTAGTAATGTGAGACAAATCCAGCCATAAATCATAAATAATAAGCATTTACATTTGTTAAATACACACACACACAGACACACACACAGTGTATGTGGAATTCTAAAGAATTCACCTATAAGACTAAAAGAAAGAACGCACAATATGAGAACTGGAAAATATGTTAAAAATCACTGATTTTGAAATAAAAGGTCCAGGTAAATATGTAATATTACAGAAATTAATGGGGAAATGTGACAACAAAACTGACAAAGCAGGGAACGCCAAATGTACTTCTCTGTACAAAACAAGAAATGAACTCACAAAAACTGTCAGAATCAACTTTATAAGAACTCTGGAAATTAATCAAAGGATTCCAGCTACCAGGAACACTCTTAACCAAGAAAAAGGCAGCTGTTTTTTCTTACCTTGACCCATCCCTGTTCCTCAGCTAGGCAGTGGCCTTGAAGATGAGAACCCACAGGCTGGTACAGGTTTCCAGAACCAGAGGTGACAGAACAGGCCTTATAAAGAATTTCAACTGGTTGGGTTTTGGTTTTTTGGTTTTGTTTTTCTTGTTTTGATCTGCCTGATGGATACCTAAAGGACTGGCTCAAAGTACTTGCAAAACTATACCTAGGTGGAACTGCTAACCTGAGGGCTTGGTCAAAAACATTTAAAGGTAAATATACCAGCCACTGCCACCTAGGGCAAGGGATAACAACTTGGGCAAACAATGGACAAATCGAAAACCCTGAGAAAAAAGTGGGGAGTGAGTTGTACTGGGAATTAAGGACTTTGAAAATCTCCCACATATTCCAGGGAATCTAGATAGATTTGGGCATGCCTAGGACTGGCAATATAAGAAAAGACCTGAGAAGCTCCTAAGCCCTCATGTCCAGCTGAACATCAGATTTTCTGCAAGAAGTGAATGCTAAGGCAGAGTTGTAAACTCCTTGCCTGAGTGTTTAAGGAACTCTCCAACAGAAAGAGCTCATCTACAAAGAATATAAGGTGGTTTTGTTTTGGTTTTGGTTCCAGGTGTTTAAGGAAATCTGTCAAATCACTAATTGACCAATAAGTCAACAAAGACTTCAGTGGCCACACACAGCAATGAAAACACATCACACAAAATTAGTTGAGAGAAATAAAGACACAACAGCAGTCACAAGAAACAACAACAAAATCCAGGGGGGTGAGTGTGGGGGGAGGAGTGGATTATGATTTCCAAGGTTCCAACATACTCAAAATATCCCATTTGTTAAACAAAAGGTTACAAAGCAGGCAAAGTAACAATAAAGTACCAATATAACCCATACAGAAAAATGAATAAATAAATAGCATAAATTGTCCATAATGGAGCCTAAACTTTGGACTTAAACAACAAACACTTAAAATCAACTAATTAAGCTAAAGGGAATGATGGACACAGAATTAATGAAAGTAAGGAAAACAGTGTTTAAACAAATAGAGAATATCAATAAAATGATAGAGATTATAAAAAGAAACTAAACAGAAATTCTGGGGCTGAAAGGTAAATTTATCAAAATGAAAAATTTCCTAGAGAGGTTCAGCACCAGATTTGATTAGGCAAAAGGGAGGATCAGCAAACTTATAGGTAGATCCGTCAGAATTACCTAGTCTAAGGAGCAGAAATAAAGAAAGACTGAATATAAATGAACAGAAACTCGGAGACCTGTAGATACCATCAGTGGACGAACATACGAATAATGGGAGTCCCAAAGAGAATGAGAAAGAAGGCAGAAGGAATATCGGAATATGGTCAAAAATTTCTTAAATGTGAGTAAAGACATGAACCTACAAATCTAAAAACTGAATGAACCGCATGTAGGAAAACTCAAAGAGAATCACACGATAACAAATTATAATCAATCTGTTAAAAGACAGAGGGAAAGAGAGAATCTTAAATGCAGCAAGGGAGAAGGTAGGTATTTGTCATATACAAAAGATACTCAGTAAGATTAAAAGCTGATTTCTTGCCAAAACCATGGAGTCCAGAAACAGTGGATGACGTATTTGAAGTGTTGAAAGAGGAAAAAAAACTGTCAGCCAATTCTATCTCTAGAAAAACTGTCTTTTAAAAATGAGGGAGAAATTATGACTTCCAAGATAAACCAAAGTTGATGGATTTTCTTACGACTAGACCTGCCCTGTAATAAATAAAAGAGAGAACACTTCTTTTTTTTTCCTTTTCCATTATGGTTAATTACAGGATATTGAATATAGTGCCCTGTGCTATACAGTAGGACCTTGTTGTTTATCCATTCTATATATAATAGTTTGCATCTGCTAATCCCAAACTCCCAATCCATCCCTCCCCTACCTCTCCTCCCCCTTGGCAACCACAAGTCTGAAAAGAGAGAACATTTCTTAATTCATTCTATGAGGCCAGCATTATTCTGATACCAGAGCCAGACAAAAACAGCTCAAGAAAAGATACTACAGACCAACATATTTTATGAATATAGATGAAAAATCCTCAACAAAGTACTAGCCAATTGAATACATAGCATATTAAGATTATATATCATAAAAAAGGCAGCCTTGTTCCAAGAATTCAAGGGTAGTTGGTTCAACATATGGAAATCTATCAATATAATAGCCCACATCAATAGTAGGGGGGGGGGAACCTACATAATCATCTCATTGTATGCAGAATAGATATTTGAAAAAAATCCAGAAACCGTCATGATGAAAACAGTCAGCATACAGAAAGTGAACTTCCTCAACCTGATAAAGATCATTTATGAAAAACTCACAGCTAATATCATACACAGTCAATGATGAAATAATAAAAGCTTTCCACCTAAAATAAGAAATAAGACATGATGCCCACTTTCACCACTGCTATCCAGCTATTCAGTGTTGTACTGGAAGGTCTACCCAGAGCAATTAGGCAAGAAAAAGAAATTAAAAGTATATAAATTGGAGAATAAAAAGGAAAATTATCTCCATGAGATGACACAATCCTGTATAAAATACACACACACACACACACAAACAAGACCTACTAGTCTTAGAAACGATGTCAGCCAAGTTGCAGGATACAGTATCTACATATGAAAACCAGCTGTTTCTATACATCAACAATGAACAATTTGAAAAAAATTTTTAAAAATAATTCCACTTACAATAATATCCAAAGAATAAACTACCTAGGAATGAATTTAAGCAAGGAGATGAAAGACATATAGGCTGAAAACTACAAAACATTGCTGATATAGATAACTATTAAGGACCTACTGTATAGCACAGGGAACTCTACTCAATACTGTGTAATGGCCTATATGGGAAAAGAATCTAAAAAAGAGTGGATATCTGTATATGTGTAACAGATTCACTTTGCTGTACATCTGAAACTAACACAACACTGTAAGTCAACTATACTCCAATAAAAATTAAAAAAAAACATTGTTGATAGAAATTAAAGAAGACCTAAATAAATGGGAAGACACTCCATATTTATGATAATATTTACCAATATGGTCTATAGATTCTATGTAAACACTATCCAAATTCCAAGAACATTTCCTGGAAAAATGGAAAAGATGATGAAATTCATACGGAACCGCAAAGCGCCCTGAACAGTCAAGACAATATTGCAAAAGATATGATATACACAGAATAGATAAATCCACAGAGACAGAATGCAGACTGGTAGTTGCCAGGGACTGGGGACAGAGGAAAATGTTGAGAAACTGCCTAGCAGGGAATGAATGCTAATCATACTTTTTTGAACAATAAACAATGGCATACACATGCAATGAACACTGTTGCAAGAACAACAGTTTGGCCAACGGTCTCACTGATATGTGGTTATGAACTTGCAATTTTCTCCCTAGAATAAATCCCTGTATCTGAGACAACCCCAAATCAAACAGGATGATCGTTAGTATACTTAATCAACATTGCCACACTGCCCTTCAGAGACACTTTTGTGATGATCCACAAAACCCAGAAGGACAACTGGAACCATTTGTGTCAGGCTCTCATGATACTTTCTATCTCAGCATCCTGGAACATGCTGACCACTCTACTCAGTTACTTCAGAGGGCACTTGCCCATGAAGCAGGATGATATTGTAACATCTAAATCAAAGCATTCTCCACTCAGAATTTTACCCAGTGAAACTCTTCGTGGGAGAGTTCACTAGAGCTTCTCCAGCACCTAAAGGGTGGGTTATCACAGCAGAAAACAGAGAATAACATTTCAGACACCAAGTAGGTGTATTTCAGAAGCAAAATCACACACACTCAAAAAAACATGGACATCAGGTACAGCCCAAGTTTTTCCACATTTGCATACTAAGTAGGCACTGCAAGAGAGAGAAAAATAAAAGATACGAGAGTAAAGCAAGGGATTCAGATTTTGTGGGATGTTGAAATGGGCCCTGGGGTCTGCCTACAAACCCCAAAATGTGCCTGAGATATGCCCCCCCGAAGGACTGGGGATCAAAGAAAGGTTCTCTCTGCCCACTGTCTTTACAATACTGCTGAGGAACAATCTCAAAAGATTCATGCTAGTCCCATGATACATGCTCCTAAAGGCAAAAGCAGAAACGAAGAAACGTCTGAGGCACCTGAAGGGGCACAGAGGGCTTGAGACAGGCCCCTGTACTCGCCTGGGGCCCCAGATGCAGTGGATGAGCAGCCCGTGTCCCCCATCCCCAAAAGAAGGTCTCTCACGTATGTGAAATGGGGATGGAAGCTAGAGAAGGAGAGGAGCCGGGACAAGGGAGACCTCAGCTTGATGTGTGTGGACTGAGAACTGAGTCTAGAATGAGAGGCTGGTCCCCCAAAGTCCAAATACAAAAACAGTCACAGACGGCAGGTAACAGAAAGTTGTGAGTCAGGATAAAGACTTTGCCTTTGTCTTTGCAACGAGATGGAATACCACTGGGACGGGAGGAAACTTTTAAGACACATGAATAAGAGGAGGGGAAGTACAATTTCCTTCGAGAGCTCGCAGCAATAAACTTCTGTCTTCCCAAAGACCTCTCACATTTAGGAAGAATTTCCTAAAAAACATTTGATGAAGTAGCCACCTCTTTGCCGTCTGAGTTCTTCCGTATGTTCGTATCGTTGATACATTCCCGCCCACCTGATTTTTTTTTTTTCTCTCTATTTTCACCTCACTCTTCAGAGGCCAGGGCTCTCTCCCCTGCTCCAAGATGAAAATAATATTCACCTCAGAAAGACAGACTCCTGCTTACATGAAAAAAGGTGAATGATGTGCTGTGCCTTTTCCGTAATATAATTCCAGCCCTTTGCCCAGCTGAAAAGGACAATACAGATGGGATAGAATAGTATTTCACAAATTTGTTCAATGACGGTCTTCTTCCAAATGCTTAAAGGATATTTTAAATATACAGATATGTAGCTTTCTTCCAAGAACTACTAAACCAATAGTACAGAAGTAAAAGCGGGCAGATAGCTTAAAATTTTGCCATAAGGTTTTGTGCTTACTCAACTTCCAGAACCACCACCACCTAGCATGTCGTGGACAGATCAGCTGAAGAAAGAGGAGGTTTAAATTCCAGACACTCCATTATAAAGCCCCTCATTTCTGAATCAACGTGGCTTCAACCGTAAGTGAACAAGGCAGGGGTTCCCAAGAGACTCAGGATAAATGCAAAGACACCCGAGGGCAGATCCCAATTTCTGGAGGGAAACTATCCTCACCCAGGGAGACCAGGTTCCTGTAGTTCTCCAACATCACGTCCCTGTACAAGGCCCTCTGAGCAGGGTCCAGGCATTCCCACTCCTCCTGAGAGAATTCTATGGCCACATCCCTGAATGTCAACAGTGCCTGAAATAAAAACACATTTCACCAAGAGGCCATCAGGAGAGTACTTATCTTCACAGCAAATGGGAAGTGGAGAGAGGTGCCAGCATCAATTAGATAGAAGTCAGTGTCCTGATAGTGCCACAAAGAGAATCTTGAACAATATATCCCTAATTTTGCTTTATTATACTTTTCTATCAGAGGATATCAAATCTACTAAATTACTGAGGAATTTAAAATTGCATGCAAAAAAAAATATATATATATATACACAAATGAAAAAAATTCAACAAAGGGTTGTCTATACACAGGTTCCAGACATTATACTCCAAATGATAACTAACTTCCAGATGAGGTACAGTAATGTCTTTAGGGATGACAAAGTCCACAGTAGCTTTAAAGAAAGGTGAGAACTGAAAAAATGGGATAATGATAATTACAGTAACAACCAAAAGTTACCATACAGTAAGCATTACTCCAAATGTTTTATAAGTATTAACTCATATAGCAACATAGCATCCAATTTATTCCCACCTTACAGAGGACCCAACTCTGTTATTCAACAGCTAATAAATGGCAGCCATCACCTGAACCAGGTTGTCCAGCTTTAGAACAGAACCTACAGCATCATACATTTAAGTATCAGATATGACATTAAAAGTACGATGACACAGTTGTTTCCTAACTGAGAAAACCTGAAACAAGTTCAAGGCTGAAAACACGGAACTGGCTGAAAGCTCAATACATATACACGTACACACACATGCGTACATACAATGAGCACTGTCCTTATTGCTCTTAACTCATTAACATGGCACGGTAGGAGAAAACTTAAGGACGTGGAAAGCATGTAAGACACACTTTCAAAGTTAAAATAAATATAAGACTTATTTATGAAATGATGGTGTTGTTTATACACACCATGGGTTCCTGCTCACATACACAAGTGGGTGCACTATAAACATACACACCAAAATTAACTGAAATAAAAGTGGTAGTGTCTAAAATGACATTTTTAAAATACACCTTCATTTTCTTTTATTTTTTACTTGTGTATTTCAGCATTTTTGGTACAATGAACATGTATAAATTGTACTAAATTTAATTAAGATTGTCAACATTATTCTATAGTAGCCTGGTTATTAAAAAACACTGCAAAAATTGAGAAAAAATACATCAGAAAACTTAACTTTGATCTCCATAAATACATAGAGTGTGTAAAAATACAGAAGAGAATCTGTGTGGCGATGAGAGAAGATTGAAGGAAGGCCGTGGGGCGAGTCCAAGCAAACCTGTCAGGCAGGATACTTGAGAGTGAGAGATTATCAAGTCCAAATGGCATTTCAGGACAGAGAGGACTGAACAGTAAACTAAGAATATGATTTTACCTGAGAAAGAGTCATTCCTGACTCCTTGTCCTTTCCTCTTCTTCCTCTTCAGGGCTTCTTTCTCAGGCAAGGTGAGCCCTGAGATGTCAATCCTGAGTGTCAAAAGATGCTGTTTAATGCTTGGAATCGACACACCCCCTTCCTGTACCACAACCACACACAGGGAGGACCTCAGCATGTGGAACAGACGGTCCTCTGCTGTAAGGTTTTTGACCCCTTTCTTCAGAACTCACTCCCCTCCTGGTTAAGCCACACACAAGCTGCAGCAGTGGGGACCTAGGAAGGACTGACCCTCCCCTTCAGGTCAGAGACCCGGTCCTGACCGAAGGCCATGCAGAGGACAGCACCCCCTCCACCCCTCTAGTTTAAGGGCTGGTCTCAGTCCTCAGAAACAGATGAGCCAGAGCCCTAGTGCTCAGGGCTGGATACAGATTCGATCACCTGAGACTACTTAGTCAGCCATGACCTAGAAGAAAACTCTACGGGAACTGGGCACAAAAGAGGTATCTGAAAATGGCTCAGCAATCTAATGGAAAGTCAGGGTTGAGCATCATTCAGAGGGGTCAACCCCAGCACACCTCCCACTCTGTGGCCCTGCTCTCTCCTCGGGCCCTGCCCCCTGTATCTGGATAGTGGAAGGGGAAGGAGCAGAGACAAACGCACAGAGCAGGCATTACAGGGTAGGGCGGGGGGAGGAGTGTGGCTGCAAATTTAAACGAGAGACTCAGAAAAGGCCCCACTGAGAATGGGGGCAGGTGTGTTATCAGAACAAAGATCTGGGGGAGGAGGTTCACCATGTGCATTTGAGGGGTCAAAGAGTTCTAGGAATCCCTGAGGCAGCGGTGACCCTGACTCCGGGAAAAGCAGAGACATCTGTGTGGCTCAATCTCAGTGAGAAGGGAGGAAACAAGCAGGAGATGATGTCACACAAGTACTGCAGGAAGCAGATCAGCAAGGCCCGTGGTCTTCAGACATTTTTCTACCCCATCCCAAGTGAATTTTGGAAACTATGTATTGTCTCATCCACCTTAACATCTAATTCTTTTGTATCTCAAGTTAAAACACATATGAATAATGCAATATCCTGTATATTTGAAAAGCAGCCAAGATGGTCACACTGGCCCCAGGAGGTATGCCACAGCTCTTAACGGAAATGTGCAGGGCTGTAGGGGCCAGGAGCTAATGTCCGCACAGTGTGGCAAGAAGATGCCTGTGAGACGTGCCAGCAGGGATGTGAAGGGCACCGCTGGACAACAGGAGTCTGGAGTTCAGGGCTGAGGTCTGAGAAGGAGATGTGGAACTGGGAGATGAGAGGATGTCTAAAGCCATAAGATAGGATGATGTGGAAAGTCACTGAGTGCGGCCGGAGAAAAGGTCCCAGATGGAGCTTGGGGCCCTGCCCCCATCAGCGACCAGGGGTTGAGGCAAAACCAGGAGAAGAAAATGAAAAGTGAACAAGGAGAAAAGAAAATTGAAAGAGATGGCCAGACTTAAAATGGTAGTTTAAGTTTATCTTTAAATACTGGGATGTCCTGCAAGCCATGAGAAAAAAAAGAAAAAAGTGTTTAATGGAAGAGGGAGTGATCAACAGTTGCTGATAGGACAAGACAAAGACTGTGAATTAACCAGTGGGTTTAGAAACAGGGAGGACATTACAGCCTCTGACAAGGAAAGTGGGATGGTAGATGGGAAAGCTTGATTGGATGGGGTTCCAGCAACAGCTGGAAGCAAAAGCTGATGAACTATGTTTGACAAATGGTGCCATCATGTCCTCTTGCTTGAGGACAAATCACTGTTTATCTTGAGAACATGTACATAATGGGTTGTGTCTGCTTGGTTATAAAAAAGGGTGAGATTTCTTTCTGCCATAGCAATCTTTTTGGTGGAGTCCCTGTGACGCGGGTATATGTCCAGAAGTGCAATTGCTGGATCACACGGTAATTCTATGTTTAATTTTTTGAGGAAATTACCACTGTTTTCCACAGCTTCTATATCATTTTACCCTTGTAAACAATGCACAAAGGTTTCAATTCTCCACATTCTCTCCAACACTTGTTATTTTCAGTTTCTTTTGATAACAGCCATCCCAATGGGTGTAAAGTAGTATCTCACTGTGGTTTTGATTTGCATTTCCCTTACAATTGGTGATATTGGGCATCTTTTCATGAGCTTATTGGCCATCTGTATATCTTCTTTGGAGAAATGTCTATTCAAGTGTTTTGCCTCTTTTTCAACTTTGTTTTTCAGTGGTAGTTCTTTATATATTCTAGATAATAATTCTTTATCAGATATATGATTTGCAGAATTTTCCTCTTATTCTGTGGGTCGCCTTTTCACTCTGTGGATAGTGTTCTTTGGTGCACAAAGTTTTTTTATTTTGATGAGGCCCATTTAACTATTTTTTCCTTTGTTGCCCGTGCTCTCTGGTGTCACATCCAGGAGCCTGGATTTTGTCCCAAAGGCAATGGGAAGCCAGCAGAGGGGTTAATGCCAGGTACTGAAATGGTCTAACTTCAGATTTACTTCCGATGCAGAGACAGAATTCTGAGACAGACTCTGTCTCTGAGCCCTGTATCTTTCCTAGTAGTTTTCATCATCGTTGTTGGCCTGGCACTCTTTTAAGCTTATAATTACAATGGTTACCCTCTTGCAGAAAAATGCCACATAGATATCCATACAATATTGTCAATCATTTTAGGGGTCGCTGTCATTCAGCAATCCTGATCTTGTTCATCACCTCCGTGTTGTAGGTAGGTTCACAGAGGCCCAGAAGGGAAGTTACCTTGAGAACATCTGAGCTGAGTGAGAACTGCATGTCACTGAATTTTGAAAGGGTGGCCTAGAAGAGACAGTGAGCAGTTTGTCCTTATCATCTCATTCCCCTTTGAAAAATTCCAGGATCATGTTTAATACACCTGAGCAAAAGACACCTCTTTTGTGGTTTTAATCACATTGACCCCAAGCATTTACTCCCTCTTTTGCAGAAAATCACAGTGAAACACTGAAGAAATATAAAATGATGAACACAGATTTTGGTGCTGAAACTTTTAAAGAGGGTTAGCTATGGAAATAGGATCAGTGCAAATTTCTTTACCATGAACAGACGGGCTCTGTTAGAACAAAGTTTCAAGTCGATCCAGCCCATACCTCATTATTTTCACAGAATGGACAACAGGGACTTGAGCGGAACATCTACTTTGTAGCTCACAGCTCACTAATTCAATAAATCACACAAAGGGGACAAAAGAGGCTGCTGAATATTAGGCTAACTCACTAAACTAAGTTCTAACCATTAAGATGCTAGACACCCTTACCAAGTATATGCTGAAACAGTCTAAAATTATTTACTAAGTACTACACAATGTTTCAACATATGACAAACGGTAGAAAGAATGCAGTCTTTATAATCTGAACTAGACACAATATATTCAAAAGGGAAAACAATTTGGGACTTTTTTTTTTTTAATCTAATGACTTCTGGGGTCAAAATTTGTTTTTTAATTGAGACTACCTAATATTTAGAATAGAATGATGACAGCTGGTTATCACGTCACCGAAGCTTATTTCAGAAGCTGATAATTATTTACAGAGAAAGGGGAGTTCGGTATACTAAAATTTACCTCAACATACTTTTTAAAAGAATGAATTAAATGTAAGTGGGGTGCAAAAATGTATGTCCATTTAAAAGAAGAAAAAGCAACGGTTTTAATATTCCCTTAAAAAGCACCACGTAGTGACGGATTCAGTAATTTCTTGTCCCGGCTCACCTCCCTCACACCATTCCAAGCAAAGATGGCAACGCACAACTCACAGACAAGTCTCCCCTCGTTGTCAGAGTAAAGGGCTGCAAATGGAAGCTACACTGTGAGGCGAATAATTATAAAACGCACAAGCCTTATAAACAGGAGTTTTGCAACTCTCATTCTCATCTGTAAAATTAAAACAATTAAGCAAATTTTAAACTAAATATATTACAGAGCCACAAGGCAATATATCACACCTTAGCTATATCCCATCAAGTCACCACTCACGCAAAATCAGGTTCCCCTTCTTTCACTCTACTCTGTATTTCTGTTAATCTGTTTATGTCTCCCTTTCCTTGTTTCTCTCCATCGTTCTCCTTTTCTGTGTTTCCTCTCTCACTCTCGCTGCTCTTTCTCCCCTTTTCTCTATTCCTTTCCTTACACTTGTTTTGCACAAGGCTTGAAACCTATTTCAACTTCAGTTTCTCCTTCTCCCCAGTCTGTTCCCAATCTCTATATATGTCTGCCTTTTTCTCCCCGCATTTCTGTGTTCCCTCTGCTCTCCATTACATTCTTTCCTATTACACCCCCCCTGCCCCGCCTCACTGCATCCCTAGCTGGCTAGGTTCTCTCAGCGCTGTTTCTCACTCTGCCAACCCTAAGCCCTCGTTCTGTCCCTCCACTCAGCTCCCCCAACTGTTTTTCTCCTAACCACTCTGTCTGAAGTGGCTTGACCTTCGTGGCTGGAGCTCCTCCCTTTCCTCTGTGTTTCTATTTTCTTTTCTCCTCTTGCTACTTTGCCGAGTTATTCCCTTTCACTTTGTCTCTCTTCAAGTCCTTCCCAGATCCTCTATTTTTGCCTTTTCTTTATGCGCCGCCCCATTGATCTTATTCTCCCTCTCACTTTTCTATTTCTCTTCATTCTCTCTCTGTCTCTCTTTCTCCTGATCATCCTCACTCCCTTGTCCGGCCGCTTTCCTGGTCTCCCCTTTGCAATCATCACTTCCACAAAGCACCAGATCCCCGCGCGGGGGAGGTGACTTGCTCTAGGGGCACCCCGAGTTCTTCAGTCCTAAATCCCATCCTTCTGAAAAGTGTGCTCTTCCGAGACACTGGGCTTCTTATTAAGGGGGCGGGGGGGACGGGGGGAGGTTCCCAGGAAGGCGGTGGAGTCTGCTGAATCCCAGGGCCAGGGAGAAAGCCAGGCCTCTATGTGCCAAGAGGGACAAGGATGAGGGGAGACGCGCAAAGTGTTTGAATCTATCTCAAAAGTCCATCTGCCTTGACGCTGAACAGCGCGGGGCGGGAGGAGTGGTCAGTGAAGGGTTTTACAGGACAACAACGCGGCAGGCGGGTCTAATGGCCCGAAGGCCCAAAATCCATGGGCGGGGAAGGCCTCGGAAATATTTTAACCGAAAATGAACGCGGACCCCCAACCCAGCAGCGAAGCGGTCAGTCTTCGGGAACTCTCACCGGGACGCCAGAACTTACCGAAGGTAAGAGGCACGGGTGCAGGAATGTTAACGTCCGTAGCAACCCCAAAACTCCAGGCGTATAGGACTGTGGACTGAGACGCTCAGGTTTAAACTCAAAAAGACGAAAACTCACAGACGCCGACGCGACCTTAGCCTCAAGTTATCCTCTTCCGGTCTGCGAGATACTGCGCGTGCGCGCTTCTTTCGGGGAATGCTGGGGGCGGGGCCTAGGCGGAGCTCCTTCGAAAAGGGGCGTGAATGGTGGCCAGGCGTAGGCGGGGATCGCGGGGGGGCGTGGCGGAGCCGCGCCGGGGCGGGGCCGGGGCGGAGCCGGGGCGGACGGGGCGCCCCTCCGCAGCTCCCTTAGGGCATGTTTTCTTTCCGAGTTTGGATCACTTTGAATTTCTTTCCTGTGCCGCGGAGCCGGGCTGCTCCTTGCCTGTTTTAAGTTGATGTTTCAAACAACTTAAGGGGAAAACTTAGAGTTGAGAGGCCACTTGTTGAAAGCTAAGATGTTTACGTTTTAAGTAGTTGAAAACGAGCTTAGTCAAAAATCGTTTTTGCAAAGGGGTGCCGGGTCCTGAGAGAGAGACGAGGCGGACTCTGCGGTCTGGGAACCCGGACCTGGATTCAGAGTCGATGTGGGGAGATAGTTGGATCCAGGAACGCCTCCTGCAATTAGAATTTAATTTAAGCGATATAATTAAGCAAGGAGTGCAGTTGTCTGTGCAAGAAATGCAAACTTGAATGTGAAATGCAAAACTCTACGGGTGGGAAATGGGCCACTTCGTACGGACGTCCATCAGAACGTCATATCCATTTACATTCCCCATTCACCCTGTGCTCAGCCCTGTGCTCAGTTCCAGAGGCTTTCATAGGTACAAGACCTGGGCAGGGGGAGGTAGAGGCATGAGGCATATGATATTTAGGTCACCAACCACTGCTTTAAAAAAATTAAAAATCAAAAATTAATATAAACTGTATTGTTCTTTATAGTACTTGTTATTCTATTCCACACCTAAGGCGAATGATAAGTACCTCTGAGATAAATTCTTGTGACGTCATAATTCATTTGTCAGTAATTTCCAAAGATAACAATCTAATTCACTTCACATTTATCCAAGAGTAACTAGGAAGAATATTTTTAATAAAAATATTGTTTTACATTTTAGCTCTTTTGTTTATTTTCTATTTCTCAATGTTCTGTCAGGTGTGAATAACAAACCCTATATGTACTCTTTAGAAGCCTACTGAAGTTGTTTTCACCTCAAAAATACTATTGCAATATTTCCAGGGGTGTTTGATAGGGATGTCTATATTATTTTATATGAACCCTAAAGGAAGCAAACTAGATTTATAGAATTTCCAATGGTCTCTTTTATAGTCTTTAAGGCAATTTCCATGAGCTAATATCCACCATGAAATGTGTTTCTTTCAAATCCCTAAACGTAGAAGATTTCTCTCCAGTAATAATTTTTTAATGCGATAAAAGCATTTTGAATAAAAAGTCTTTTAACGTATATTTAATCTGTAAGGTTTCACTGCAGTATATATTATATGATTTTTCACAAATTTTAAGCATTGATTATAGCTTTTTGATGTTCATTACATTTGAATTAACTGATATTTAAGGCTTCAGCATCATTAGTCATAAATTGAAAAGATTTCACTCCCAAAATAATATTCTGACGATCCCCCACAGATTGACTTTTGGACGAGAACTTCACTACACACATTATATTTTTAAAAATTACTCTTGTGTATTTATTTCCTGATGTTTAGTAATGTTTGGCTTTTGGTTAAATACACTGCCCCTTTCATTATAGTTTTAAGATATCCCCCAGTATGCATTTCTGATGACCAATGATGATTCATGCTGCCTAAAGACCTTCCAAATTCACTGCATTCGTTAAGCTTTTTTCTAAATGGTATAACTCTGATATTTGTAATCAATGAAGAATGGATCAAAACTTTCCCACCTTTATTGCAAATATTGGTTTTGACACACGGAAGGATTCTTCCAAGTAGTGAAACTAAGGAACCATTTTGATAGATTTCTTATCTTGATTACATTTATTCTATGCATGCTCAATTTTAAATCTCTGCAGTTCACTAAGATTTAACTGAATGCTCAATCCAACCCTATTATCAAATTACTCCATGCATTTGTTTCCTGCACTAGACACATTTTTTAATGAAAAAAATATATACAGTGTCAGGGCTAGATTTTCAGATCTTTAGAAGGTAGACTGTGTAAATTATGCTGTATTATGTATTATTGCCAACTAGCCATGTTGGCACAAAAGAGATTTCAGCATGGACTCCCATGTTCTCATGCAAATAAATAAATGGATGGTGAAACTTTTCATCAGACAGAACATCTGGAGAGAAGCCGATCATAGGTGAAATTCATAAATCCACATTGCTTAAGGGAAGTTTTGTTGCCTGTATAATTTACAAGGGAGCAAAACAAACTAATTCACAAGAAAAAGAAAGGATATTTCCTTAATCGCAGGAAGATTTTGACATATGTCTCCCTGTAGTATTATAAAAACAGATGCAAATTATTAAAGATTATTAAAGACTTCAAAATAAAGACTTCAAAAATTTGAAAAACACAGGAAGTAGTTTGGCCTACTGTATTAAACTCTGTGTCAGAAAAATAGAGACACTACATTTTTAAAGCACACTGTAATATACAATATTTACGACTGCCAAAATTTTAAAAAATATCTCGACTTAGGTAAGGAGACACTTTATACAAAAGATGATTGCAAGTAGAGAGAATGCTCTGACCACAAGATCTGCACATCTATAATGGGTCTTTTAAAAAGGAACATTAAAAACTTAGGCTAAAGTGGGGTTTATCCCAGGAATGCAAGGATTCTTCAATATACGTAGATCAATCATTGTGATACACAATATTAACAAACTGAAGAATTAAAAACCATATGATCATCTCAATAGATGCAGAAAAAGCTTTTGACAATATTCAACACCCATTTATGATAAAAACCCTCCAGAAAGTAGGCATAGAGGGAACTTACCTCAACATAATAAAGGCCATATATGACAAACCCACAGCCAACATCATTCTCAATGGTGAAAAGCTGAAACCATTTCCACTAAGATTAGGAAGAAGACAAGGTTGCCCACTCTCACCACTATCATTCAACATTGTTTTGGAAGTTTTAGCCACATCAATCATAGAAAAAAAAATAAAAGGAATCCAAATCAGAAAAGAAGAAGTAAAGCTGTCACTGTTTGCAGATGACATGATACTATACATAGGGAATCCTAAAGATGCTCCCAGAAAACTACTAGAGCTAATCAATGAATTTGGTAAAGTAGCAGGATACAAAATTAATGCACAGAAATCTCTTACATTCCTATACACTACTGATGAAAAACCTGAAAGAGAAATTAAAGAAACACTTCCATTTACCATTGAAGCAAAAAGAATAAAATACCTAGGAATAAACCTACCTAAGGAGACAAAAGACCTGTATGCAGAAAGCTATAAGACACTGATGAAAGAAATTAAAGATGATACAAACAGATGGAGAGATATACCATGTTCTTGGATTGGAAGAATCAACACTGTGAAAATGACTCTACTACCCAAAGCAATCTACAGATTCAATGCAATCCCTATCAAACTACCAATGGCATTTTTCACAGAACTAGAACAAAAAATTTCACAATTTGTATGGAAACACGAAAGACCCTGAGTAGCCAAAGCAATCTTGAGAAAGAAAAACAGAGCTGGAGGAATCAGGCTCCCTGACTTCAGACTATACTACAAAGCTACAGTAATCAAGAAAGGATCGTACTGGCACAAAAACAGAAAGATAGATCAGTGGAACAGGAGAGAAAGCCCAGAGATAAACCCACACACATATGGCCACCTTATTTTTGATAAAGGAGGCAAGAATATACAATGGAGAAAAGACAGCCTCTTCAGTAAGTGGTACTCAGAAAACTGGACAGCTACATGTAAAAGAATGAAATTGGAACACTCCCTAACACCATACACAAAAATAAACTCAAAATGGAATAAAGACCTAAATGTAGGGCCAGAAACTATAAAACTCTTAGAGGAAAACATAGGCAGAACACTC